ATTACTGGCGTTAAAACTAACTTTAATTTACGTTCATATTTAAATTAATATTAATACTTACTGAAAATCAAGTTTGACTATACAATTATTTGAAAGAGTTATTAATTAATTAATTAAGAGTTGAGTAATTAATTTTCAATAGTACGGTATGTTTACAAAAATCAGTAATCAATGATTAAACGTCAATTCACCAAAATAAACAAAATTTTGGAAAATCCAAAAGTACACGCCTCATAACGCTCATTCACTTTATAAGAAAAAAATTAATTGTGTAATTGATGAAAAAAAAAAAAAAAATTATCATTAAGGTAGTACGGTTATGAATGCAATTTTTCAAGAATTTCTTGAAACTCAGAATATAAGCAATTAAATGTATAATACATATGCTGTTAAAATTTGAAGATGATTTACCACACCAAACCTGAGATATTTGCAATTAAAAATGACATAATTTGTACACGTAGCATGGGGAAAGCGTGGGAAAATGACCAATTTAATTTAATTTATCAATGAATTACTTTCACCATCACTATGAAAAACTAATATTACTTAGAATACTGTATTTTGATAATATAAAAAAAAATAGGAATTATTTACCACGTAGTTTCGATAAAAAATTAAAATAAATAACTCGATTTAGCGATTATTTTCTGTAGAGGGGATACGGTGACTAGTGGCATGGAAACTATGTGGCAACGTTGTTACAAGTAAAATGTCGGAGCAAAGAGAAATGGCGCGAATTTTCAAATCAATAAAATATATTTTAAAAGAGATCCATTTTCAACTTTTGTTTAATAACAATAATTGATGAATACTTACATGAAAAAATAAATTTTATAGCGTTATTCTTTTATTTAATATTAATTATAAAATTTAATACATAAAATATATCCAGCGATACAACATGACAAAGTATTTTAAAACCAAATTCTTATTACAATAAATTTTTAATTATTGCAATATTTTATAATCATCACAAACTTTTTCTTAATTTCATAAAAACACATATATTTATCATAATATATATCACATTTTTTTTGTAAAAAATGAACATAGCTTATCTAAAACCCGTTTATCTTTGGTAATATTCGGTTTATTATCACTTCCTGGTTCTTCACAAAATTTTATTAATTCGTTTATTCCACCATTCTCATATTTATTAATTAAATCTTGGTATTTTATGGCTTGAGACGCCATTTTCCTTAATATATGACCAGATAGAACTCCTTTTAGTGGAGATAAACAGTCCATGCCAGAAGCAGTTTGCTTTAATTTTTTAAGATGAATCAAACACTCTCTGTAAGATTTAGAGCTTTCGAATAAATGTTTGTTGTCCGTCAACGAAACTAGTTTCTCCAAAATCTCAACATCGTATAAAGCTTCATGGAATTTATCGTCAGAGTTAACATTTAAATGATTTTTAGCTAATTCTGACAGTTTATATTCACCCTAAATCTTTTTAGAAGTAAAATTTTTCTTGAATAAAGGCAAACTATCAGAAAATCCTGCGATTTTACTGAAGGCAGTTACCATCGAACATTTCAAAATAGAACGCAGTAAATGCGATTTGTCAAACGTAACATTATGTGCAACAAGTAAACATGGCTTGGGTGACATTTTTAAAAACATTAAAAAACTCTGGAGAGCTTTTTTTAGCGGCAACGAATCTACTTTTTTAGCGTGAAAGTATAAATCGCCGTTAATATTTTTTAATTCAGTATGCGCGGAAGCTTTATCATCAATGATTTTTGTAGGATTAATATAGACGCTAAATTTTCGCCATTTACAAGATGCTGCAATTTGAAGAATTTCGTCACTTTTACGGAAGCCCGAGGTTTCTAAATAAAAAAAAACTAAATTGCATGTCTCTGGTGACATTTGAATATCTGGACCTTTAATTTGTGATTCGTCAAAGGCTTCAAAATCTTCACCGTCTTGCGACAGACCGCAGTTAGATTTATATTGAACGCCTTCGGAATTTTCATTCTTCTTTCTTAATTTCTCACGTTCTTGAGTTACAAGTACACGACGTTTCTTGGCAACCGGCAGCTTTGCATCTATTGCACGTTTCTTTCGCTTATTATCTGTCACTTATCAATAATTAATGCTGCTCTGTATTCAGCAATAAAATAAAAAATAATACAAAGTTTGACGAAGAATTTAAAATCACCGTTATTTGGAATGTATGAGAACAAAAATTATTTTATAAAATATTTACAATTTAGGCAAGTAAGAATAAAAATTATTATGAAAGTCTAGACAACAATTAAGTCCAAAAATTAAATACAATTCGAAAAAATTTTACATAATTCAAAATAATTATTTACAATTCAAAAAAATTATTTATAATTCACAAAAATTATATTCAATTTAAAAAAATCATCTACAACTCAAAAAAATTATAGACTTCTAAAAACTCTGTTTCGTTGATGACAATAAATCAATTCAAATCATCCTTATAT